TGCCGTAGGCCCACTGTATCCCAGGCCCACTGTGCCCTAGGCCCACTGTATCCCAGGCCTGCTGTATCCCAGGCCCACTGTGCCCTAGGCCCACTGTATCCCAGGCCCACTGTGCCCTAGGCCCGCTGTATCCCAGGCCCTCTGTGCCCTAGGCCCACTGTGCCCTAGGCCCACCAGGCCCACTGTATCCCAGGCCCACTGTGCCCTAGGCCAGACTGCAGAAAAATCAGTGACTTTTCTTTTCCTGACCGTGAACTTGGAAGTAGTCCTCAATCCAATGAAAAGACTGAAAAGGTTCCCCAAAGCACCGTGCTCCCCAGGGCAAGACCTTTAGCTCATCTGCCCAGCTCAATTCTGTAGGAGCCCAGGCCCAGGACAACCACCCATTCTTGAACTCCTGTTGAAGGCAGGAGTGGGAGGTCACAGACTGAGCCCACTTGGTGAGAACTGAGTCTAGGCTAACACTGCACCCCACAGGGGCTGCCCAGCCCTTAGCTTTTTTGGGTCACACTGTCATCTACAAAGTTCATGCTCAGGAACTCTGTAACTGAGTTACAAAAAAACAAAACAAAAACAAAACCCCAAAGCAAGCAAACAAAAACAAACAAAAAATCAACAAAACAAAACGCCACAATTTCAAACTCAATGTTTTCAATAAGTTTATGTTTTTGCCTCAGGCATTATTCAAAGCTCTCCTGTATCACATGGGGCCTGCGGGCTGTGGGTCGGGCATGCCTGCAGGGGTTTTAAATATGGCTCAATCTGCCCTCCATGGCCCCTCATCCTATGAAACTCAGCTGGTCTCAACATTACCTCGTTTCATCTGGATTCACCAGGTCAGTCTCCCCAAGGGTTCAGTTGCCTTTGAGAAGCTTTCAGAGAATGTAGGGCAGCTGACCCTTGAATACCCCTCACCCTGCATATGACTGAGGAGAGTTAGGGCAGGCCATGAGACCCAGCAGCCAGGCCCTGAAATGCCACTTGGTCTTGGCAAATCTCGTGGAACTTTTATTTCTGTAGTTCAACAAAAATGGAAGACAAGGGCTGGTAAGATGACCAGGTGCGAAAGGCGCTTACAGCCAGGCCTAACAACCTGAATTCAATCCTCGAATCCACATGCTGGAAGGAGAGAGTCGACTTTCACAAGTTGACCTCTGACCTCCCTATGCATGCCACAGTCCCTCCCCTCCACCCACAAATAAATAAGAAAAAATCATTTAAAAGAATGGAAAATGGGCTGGATGAGTGCAGGTGTTTAATCCCAGCACTCAGGAGGCAGAGGCAGACAGATCTCTATGAGTCTGAGGCCAGCCTGGTTGTCAGGGCAACTTAGAGACCCTGTCTGAAGAAAAACAACAAAGGCAGACAGGACAGCAACCCTGAGTGACTGCAGCTCCAAGACAATGAAGTCCCCATCACAAGTCTTCATGGGAAACTGAAGCCTTTTAGCAACTCCTCAACCCAAGACCAGGCAAGCAGTGGTGCTGTAGAAAACCCTCAGGGGAAGCTGTCCCCAAGAATGCCTGGAGCATCTGTAGGGTGAGCACAGTGAGGCGCCCACTGCCTGAGTTATTGTAGCTGGTGCCCTGCTGGAAACTTTGGCAAGAGTGAGCAAGGATACAGGGATGAAGGGTTCCTTCAAGTTCTCCAACAAGGAGCCAAGAGGACCAGTGCTCAGGGGGACCAGCAGTCAGGACAACCTCACGTCCAGCTTCTCCTTTCTAGAGCACACAGCGTGTGTACAGTGCCAGGATCGGGTCCTTTTCAGAGATGAGTGACTGTGTACACAGTCCCCAAAGAGGAGAGACAGACATGCGAATTACAGAAAGCAGGGATGCCAGGAGCCCCCAGGACAGGTCTCCCCAGGAGGTGGTGAGTGCTCTGTCCTCAGAGGTGGTAAAGCACAGACTGTCCCTAACTGGGACGGTGAAGGCAGACTGTCAAGCATGGATGAGAGGCTGGACCAGAGGACCTCAAGCCTCCTCAACCTTTGAGTCAGTCATGCAGCAGAGACCCTTCAGATGGCGCGCACGAGGAGGCCTCTCCGGGACCACACCTGGGATGACTTGCTGCAGTGGGCAATCCACACCCCCACCAAGGAGTCACCAAGTGTCAACAGAAAGGTCATGCATGTGTGTGCACACACACACACCAAGGTGAGATGCAATGTCCATCTGCATCATTAAGATCTGTTCTTTGAGGCTGGAGAGATGGCTCAGCAATTAAGAGTACTTGGCCATTATTGCAGAGGACCAGGGTTTGACTCCCAGCACCCACATGGGGGATAACAACTGTAACTCCAGTTTCCGGGGAATCTGATGCCTTCTTCTGACCTCCGTGGGAACTGCACAACATGGGTGCACTTACATACATGCAGGCAATTCACTCATACAGATAAAATAAAAATAAAGAAAAAAAAAAAAGACCAGCTCTAAGAGGCTGACGTGGCTGGAACCCGGAGGTGAAGCTCCTCTTCACTTCACGACCCTAACCTCCACTCCTTTGGTTGGGTGTCTTCCGTGAGACTTAGCTATGATCCTTTTCACAGTCTGTTCCTTGAAACGAGAAGTCTGTCCATTTGTTTTGTAAAAACCTTGAAGCCCAGTGTGAGTGCCAGGCTGTGGATGTCTACATGTGACCACACCAGGCTGGCCCGGAGGTGGGAACGGACTGCATAAGACAAAGCTGGCTCTGGACTTTAATTCCGGTTTTGTCCAGAAGCACTGAGCAAAGATCACGCTGAGACTTCACAGCTCGGGGGGCGAGGACAGGTGGCATAGAAACATGGGTAACCGAGATGAAGACTACTGCCACCAGACCCTGCTGCCCTGAAGCCAGGCTCAGGCCGTGCTCACAGGCAGCAGCCTCCTGTCCGTGGCCTAGCCAGCAGACATGGAAGGTGCTGAGGCAGGGGGCTGGCTGCTTTTTCTCACACACCAGACTTCAGCGCTGCTTCTCCAAGGTCGCACTGTTCAGAGGAAGAGCTGACTCCGTGTGATGGCATCCGGCTGTCAGGACATGTTCCCCCGGCTTCACTCTGGACTCAAGGACACACAGGAACAGAGGCAACACCATATTTCTTTACACAGAAGCATGCCTCTCCAAGGGAAAGGATTTGCTAATGAAACTGACACGACCCACTGCCCACAATTTTGGCTTAAATATATCATAAAGATTCTTTCTTAGTAAGACACCGCCATTTCCACAGGGCAGGTTAAGCTCAAGGCTCCATAAGCCCTCAGACGCCAGCCCTGCTGGGTCCTCCTGATGCCTCCATCAGCTGGGCGGAGACCAACATCCACTCTTCAGCCGGACTGAAGACACTTGCTGGGCCTCGCATACCGCCAGAACACCTCTGGTACCCTAGGTACACCCTTGGTCTACCAGTGGAGTCCGCTAGGCATGTATTTTGAACACTGGTGGAAGTCTGGCTGCGGTGGAATGCACTGCGTGTGACAGTAACGCCACCGGCCCCATTCCACATAAGTGCAGTGCTCTGCTCCATAGAACGAGATCTTCACACGTTCTGCCACGGCTCCAGGTGGGCTTAGCTCTTGAGATCTGAGATGGCACTCGTGGGAAGGCATCGGGAAGGCACTGAAACTGTCAGGCCTGCCACTGCTGCCCTCTTGTTATTTAAGGTGCATCTGTCCGCATGCTCTGCTTCAATGCACTGATCAGGAATTTTGCAAAAGCATGCCCTTGGACAGAAAGCGCTGCCTTCCCAGAGTACTTTGGCTCCGCTATAATCTTATAGAGGAATCTGACTTTTTGAACAATGAAAAAATTAAGCAATTATTATCACCTTTAAAAGTGACTTTAGCCAGCACCCCCGTGAAAGGCGGCTGGTTTCTCTCATTCTTGCCTGAGCAGAGGTGGCAGTGGCCTCGCAGGGCCCAGGAGCTGAGGCGGCCACGCTGTCTTCCCACAGCTGGGCTTGAGTGGGAATCAGGGTTGGCAGCTCTCCTGTAGGTTGTAAACTAGGGAGTGGAAACAGGAGCCTGGGCACTCATCACTTGATGCCAGGTGCACACTGGGTCGCAGTGTGTGGTTCACCCCAGAGTAAAGTGACCAGGACCCTCACTGGAGGGTCTTGTTTCCATTTGGGAAAAAAAAGGGTTTTTTACCATTTATTTAGTGTGTGTGCGTGTACACGTGTGCCATGGAGCATGTGTGGCAGTCAAGACAACTTGAGTCAGTCTCTCCTTCCACCACGTGGGTCCCAGGGGTCGAACCTAGACTGTCTGCTGGGCAGCAAATGCCTTTACCCACCAAGCCATCCTGCAGGCTCGCCAGTTCGCTTTGTTTTCAGGACAGGGTCCTACCTAGGCTGGTTTGAGCTCACATTCTTCAGCCTTTGCCTTCTGAGTGGTGGGGCGAAGGCATGTACCACCATGCCCAGCTCTGAGCTGCTGTTTCTAGACCTCAAAAGATAGTTTTGTACATGCAACTGTTTAGGATCAGGTTGACCCAGAACTCCTTGTGGAGGCTCAGGGTTTGCTCTGCCTCTAGTGGTTGGGTGGTGAGCAACAGCACAAACAGGTCTCCGAGGAAGGGGTAATAAAGCAGATGCCACAAGGCTGGCATCTCTGTGAGCCCGCTTAGCTAACACACACTGAGGCTTACTGCTTACAGGTCACAAAGGCGGGGATTGGGACGACAGGATGTCACGCTAGTGTCAAACAGACTTGCTAATGAACAGTTACGTTTACAACAAAGCAGGACTGCCCAGTCCCCTGTGGGCAAGCACCAGCCCAAACAAATGCAGGCTGCTGGGGGTGGGGGCGCTCTGCTGTCACCGGGTCATGCCACCAGGGCTGGGGCTTATCTGTGGCAGTCTGGTACAAGGTGACTGCCAGAAAAGTTTGGAACCCCATGTTTCCAGAACTGATGTAAGGCTTTGTTGAATACTGCAAGACACGGGTTTTTTCGGTCTTTTGAGACAGGGTCTCCCTGTAGCCCCAGCTGTCCTGGAACTCATTATATAAACCAAGCTGGCCTTGAACTCACAGAGAAGACACGGTTTTTAATTCCTTTTATGATACTGTGTTCTCAGTCCAAGCAGTTATCTTAAAACTTTCTATATACATACTGAATTGTGAGAACATAATCTTCCTGACAGAAAGATTTACAGAATCCATCACTAGAACTTTATTTACAATAGAAGCGAACAGTCTCTCTGGGCTTGGGTGTGGCAGGGATCACCTGTGTCGAGCATTGCACAGCAGTCTTTTCGGATGGCTTCTGCCCTGCTCCGCATCACTCTGGCTGCTTGCTGCCCTCCGGTTTCTGGTCTAGCCTGCCCCTGTTGCCCTTCACCATGTAGATGAAGTAGGCGAGGGTCTCCTTCTCATTCACCGGGATGTTCCTGAAGTGCCGGCTCACAGTCTATGTGGGGAAGACCAAAGACCCTTAAGCTACATGCACCCTGGGGCCACAAGTCGTACATAGTGCAGAGAGGGAACAGGATTGCCCTGGAGCGCCAGCATTGGGCTTCCTGGCATCCCAGGGAGCAGCAGGATGCAGCGCCCTTTTCCTCTGGGGCTTAGGTGCTTTTTCCCCAGGCTTCCGAGAGTGGAACTTTGGCCCAGGACACTACCAAGGTGCGGGTATGTTTGGTGGCAGCCATCGCTGGCGTGACAGCCACCTGTGGGGGAGGAGGCTGGGGCTGCCCTGGTTGGCCAGCCAGTTGCCACCAAGCCTCTCAGGCTGGAAGTGCGTGTGTGTGTGTGTGGGGGGGGCGGGGTGTCTTGTTATTCTGGCACGCAGGAGGCAGGAAGGTCAGGAGTTCAAGGCTAGCCTCAAATGCAGGAGACCATGCCTTGAGAAACAGTGTCAAATGAACAGATCAGCTGTGGACTCCTCTAAGCGGGGCCAGCTGCCCTGGACAGGTGTGCCAGCCTGAAAGAGGGTGACCACTGGTGGCGTCTGACGTGGCTTTTGCTATCTTAGCCCCAAGGATGCACACTTCCTCCTGACCGTTCTTGTTACGACCTGGCACCCGGTGAGCAGCGAGGCTGCGGTCGATGCTGGTGAGGAAGGCTGAGGATGACAGGCAGAGACCCCAAAATAAGCGGGAGCTTTTCAGGAGAGCCCAGCACAACGGGACTGGGGCTGAAGAGAGGGAACCAGATAAGCACAATCTCTGCATTGTACTTTCCTCTACCTCTCAACTGTTCTTTCTACAACAAAAGGCAGGACACGTTAAGAGATGGGAAAACTGAGCATGGTGGTACGAGCCTGCAGAGAGACTACTCAAGAGGCTGAGGCAGGAAGATCAGTGGAGCCCACCAGCATAGCCAGACCTGACACACACGCACATGCACACGCAGATGCACACACGCAGACACACACACACGCAGACACACACACACATACACACGCAGACACACATACACACGACAGAAGGGCATACTAAGGGTGAATTACCCCTCCAAACTGTTAAGAGCTCAACGCAGAAAAAAATGTTCTTGGGTGCTATTCGTTATCTAATAAAACACTTTCATCGACTCGGAGATGAAAACAGGTGGGAGGGGAAGGGAAGAGTTCTGCAGAGTATTCACAATAGTTTTGGGAAGATGAGGGTGAAGGTCAGTGATGAACTTGTTTAGCATGCACAAGGTCCTGGGATAGACAGCCAGCATGAGAGAAAAACAATCCCCAAACCCCAAGGGATGGTGGATGGTCAATCTGACATATCTGAAGGGTTCGGGTCTATCAAGAATCTTGAAAAGAGCTGGGCACTAGGGGCTGAAGAGAAGGTTCAGTGGTTAGGAGCTCTCACTGGCTGCTCTTGCAGAGGACCTAGGTTGGGTTCCCAGCATCCACATGGCAGCTAACAACTGTCTATAACTCCAGTTTCAGGGGATATGATGCCCTCTTTTAACCTCTGTGGGCACTGCATGACATGGGCGTACTTACATACATGCAATACACTTACACACATAAAATTAAAAAAATATTTTTGCCAGGCATGGTGGCACATGCCTTTAATCCCAGCACTTGGGAGGCAGAGGCAGGTGAATCTCTGAGTTCGAGGCCAGCCCGGTCTATCTGGCAAGTTCCAGACCATCTGGGGCTACAGGGAGACCCAGTCTCAAAACGACCAAAAAAAAAAAAAAAAAAAAAAAACCAAGAAAAAAAATTTAAAAAGAAAAAAAAAGAGCTGGGCATGGTGATGCATGCTTTTAATCCCAGCACTCGGGAGGCAGAGGCAGGCAGATCTCTGAGTTTGAGGCCAGCCTGGTCTACATAGTAAGTTCCAGGCCAGCCATGTGGTACTCACATACTGAGACCCTGTCTCAAAAAACAGAACAAAACAAAACCCTAAAAAAGGACCCTGTAAACCTGAGTCTAACAAATGACAAAGAACACTCCTGGATGCGACTCAGGAGTCCTAACTCCACATGAGCTGCTACCAGCTTGCCACTGGACTTTCGGCTGGACCTTCCCCCTGCGAATGGCTTCTTTAGGACTTTCTACTTCGGATGGAAAGCTGTTGGGTTCCACGTCACACAAAAGGGGACAGACTCTCTTCCAGGGCACTGGGGAGACGTGGTGGGTGGATGCCCTGAGGGTGGGTGGGGGCGCCCTGAG